TAGAATCCGCGACGTCCAGGCCAGCGAGCCAGCGTCTTACTCACTTAGCAACCGTGCCCCCCCCCCCTTAATAATTGAGATTTCAAAAGAACAAATGAGTACTGCCGAATATCACCTGTTTGTTCCTTGCACACCTTAAACTTCTGTCATTCCAGTTAAAATACCCCCTATATTATAGATTATTATAAATACACGTACAAAACTCGGGTCAAGGAAGTATATTATAAAAGCAGAGTCCTCTTCGGTTGCGCCTGTGGGCAGTATTACGTGATCTAAATCAATTTGCCTACAAAATTCCTAACAAATCCTCTCGATGACTTTTAAATTGCAATGAGCACTTTTCCATCACGCAATAATGCTCTTCAAATAGTTCATTTAGTAAAACAGTTAAAGTACAATTTGAACAGGACTGTAAGAATAGATTGAGTTACAGAAACATCACGTTTCTGCAGTATTGATAGTATTATTGTTTTTTTTTTAAAAATTGACCCGTGAGTGCCAGTCAGGGGTGGATCTACTGTCACTCTAATGAAGCTTATAAAGCCCGTAAACCCTGAAGGATTCCAGAGATAGCTGGGCGTCCTGATAATATCCAAGGTAGAATCAAGGCCACATCCCCTACTGAATTTCTTTAATATTACAATGATTACCAAGATCTGGTTGCTGATCGTGAGTCCAAAGTCTTGGTCCGCTACTGGTCTGTGAGCTGTGACTTAGGTAATAACCGTTTTTCGCTTGAAATTAAATTTTCAAACATTGTACATGTAATTATTTATTAATTTATAAGATGAAAATAAAAGCAAGGTGCTTTATTATATTTATCAAGGCGCCGTTCCAATATTTTCTTGTGAAGTAGCGAAATGTCACTAAAAAGGAGACGTTGGTGTCAATCACTATGAACATATAAGCTGGTCTCCAATCGGTGGTCAATTCTAAATACACCACGACAAGGTACTAACTAAAACAGGATCCCCCTGTTTGATTTTTGCTATTTGCTTCTACCGACTGAACATGGGCTGCCGACATGAAATCTTCCATGTTTGCGAAAAGTGACAACATTCTTGTTAGAAACACCTACAATTAGCAACCACTCACCCTATGATTATGCCAATCTCACAAAATAAACTAATAGTTGAATGTAGACCACATCTCCAAACTTAACCTCTGTTGGAATCTTAAATACTGAATGATAAATTAATTTGAAAGGAGAAATAGTATCAGGTGATCTATAAAAATATTAACATACCATGTCCCGCGCACGAAATCACCAATGATTATATACAACTAAAGAGATGATTTGGAATGGACATGGAAGCCGGAGCTTTTGAGAAGTTAATTAGTAGCCATGATAGTTCAGTGACGTGTAAGGTTCACTAACAGTGTCTGGTTGTTCGTTCAAAATTTAACACGCTACATGGCGTACTTCCGTCTTCATTAGCCTGGTTGTTGCAGAAAAGTAGGATCCCAAACCCCATTTTATTTCACTAGATAACCACGAGGTCAAAAACCTAGAGGCGTCACTAGCCCAGTCGTTTAAAGAAAGAAATCGCGAATAATAAACCCCCCACATTAACTGCGTTTAGATTATCAATCTTCTATAGTGCGACTCTACAAAACACATTAGTTTGATCTCAAAATGAATCTTTTTAATCATTTACTCAACACATATTCAATCACGAGAGGTGAATATTGTTCAATGTACTGGATGAAACCCCAATCTTTGTTGGAACTGAGAGAGATAAGAGTTCCATTAACAATGAAATCATCTGGAAGATATTGTCCTTCGTGTTTAATCGCAAGTAAAAGGTGAATACGGATGCACACACTTAACAAGCTTTTAAAACACTGGGTATTGATTGATTTAAACTAATAGTAATCAGGTGATAAGCTCCTCCAACCGACAGATAAATAATAAATAACGTTAGAAAACGTTGCAGTGGCGCTACATAAACCGAATGGCTCGTGATGCCCAAATGTCAACCAATCAATAGATGTTTAATGAAGCACGTGACGCGAGTTAGTAGATGGGGGTAAAGGTGATTGATTATTGAAAGAGAAGTTAAGTGGGAGATTTGAAAATAATCCCTTGTGAAATCCCAAGAGCACGAAAATTGACAATTTTAATACTTCAACTTTTACGTCGAAGTCTTCACTTATATTATTTTTAAAGGGACAAACCTTTGCCAAAATATAGAGAATCCCTTTTAAACCTGGATTCCAAGCTGGGATCATGAAGCACTTTTTATGAGGTCGTGGCGAACATCTCTAAAACTTTGGAAAAAATGCTATGTTTTCATGAAAAACATATAAATCTCTGATCTATACACCTCTTGTCACATTGCCAATCGTCTTCCCTCTCTCACGCTCACGATGTGTTTCCTCAGACTCTCATTACAACATTTTGATCTGTAAATAATGATGATGTTTCATAGTAAAAGGTGACTTTGTTCAGATAATGGTTTCTGGAATGGGGTCACAACCAACAAATAATTTGAAACCAGTACTTTCAAATGATGTCCTTTTAATTACACTATCACAATGCACCTAAATGAGTCACTAAAACGTATGCCCATATATGGAATTTGATATTGATGAAATAGCTAGAATATGATTATGACATGCCCCCCCCCCCCAACAAACAAACAAACAAAACACAAGAAACCAAAAATAGAAATAAACAAATAAATGTACCCATTCAGCAATAAGTAGTGAAAAGAGGCCATGACCAGGAAGATGTGGCTAGTTATTCGGATAGTACGAACAGACGAGGTTAACCCGTGTACATATTGGCATGCACGTAAAATGATCCTCAACATCTACGAAGAGTAGGTGGGAAGGCAGCTGCCCGGCAAAATACTGCACATGTAGCCATAAAAATTAAAACGAGAGAGAGAGAGAGAGAGAGAGAGAGAGAGAGAGAGGCTAGGTCATTTTCGGAACTAACATTATTATTGTTCAATTTTATTTCATTTATTCGCTTATGCGTAGGGGTTTTTAGCAGTGGGAGGAAACCAGAGAACCCGGTGAAACCCCAGGAGGTTGGATCAAAACCACGCAGCTTGGCTCAATGACAGACCTTATAATGCAACACGCACGCATTAACTACTCGGCCATCCAAGCCCCCTGTTTAGAGCACCTAATACTACTTTTGATTTGATTGGTTCACTAAGCATGTTTTTTTCTGTACACTGATATTCTAACAGAAACTATTTTAGCATAGCATCCAAATCCCAGACAAATTACATTATTAAACTTTCTTGCTTTTCAGACGAGAACAAGTTTATCGAGATTGTAGGATGCAATATCGGAATTAAATCAAATTATATATATATAAAGACCGTATTCAACAGATACTCACAATTGTTAACCTGAACCATGTGGACCAATGACATTCCAGACTAGGAGACATTATACATAAACAGAGGCCGTGGGGGGGGGGGGCGTTCACTCGAAACAATCTAAGTCATTTCGGGACTAACATATTAACACATGGACAATTTTATTTAAAAAATTCGCTTGCGCTTAGGGTCTTTAGCTGTGGGAGAAAACCCAGAAAAAAACCCACGCGGCTGGATAAGTGACCCTATCACGTGTAAGCCACTTTACTCAATGACAGACCTTATGATCTAGACCCTTACAAATAATATTTAGTTTGAGATGTTTAATACGTGTTAATGCGGGTTATAAATCTCTAGAAGTAGTATACGGGTTAATTTGGGTTATAAATCTCTCGACGTATTATACACTTTAAGTTGTTTAATACGAATTAATTTGAGTTATAAACCCTTAAAGTATTATAGTTAAGATGTTTAATAATGTACACAAATATATTCATAAAACATTCACCTTGTTAATAAAATTTTAAAATAATAAAAATAAGTAGATGGGTCTTTTTTGTCGAAGTTGCCTTCTTGGTTTGAACTCAGCCATTGAAGATATATCTCTATTTTAAAATCCATGAACCACACCTCCGTGCTTTAGAGCCGCGATTCCATATTTCCGTTCATTAGAAGAATCATACAGCCAGATAAATATACACGTTAGTGTCTAGTTTCGTTATAATTTTACATTACATCTTTAGCGCCATCAGCCCAAGTAGTGTGAGCCAAATGAAACAGATATAGTAACAGAATCCACTTTAGTCCTAAAACATGTCACTCTGGTCTAGTTGGTTTAAACGATATTATATTTTGAGTTAGACAGGAGTAGATACAATACTGATATAATGGATTTGAAAACAAGCCAAGCTTATATAAATTTAACTCCGCTAGTTCATATCTGTTAATAACAGCCGTGATCGGGAGATTCTTGTAATGGGTTTTATCTAGTTTGCTCCCGATGTCGACGCATGAAATAAAGAATGCAATATATTAACCCATATTCCTGAAGCAATGGTCTGAGAAATCCCTCTCTGGGCATTGCTGGATTGACTTCTGATACTTGAGCTTTTGAGGGAGTGTGTCTATTCTTCCCGTTCAATCAAACCTCTCCTGCCTACAGCAAGATGACAGCCTTTCGTTAAATCTGGGATCTTTCCTAAAACTCTGGACAGTGATTTAAGGTATTAAAAACGGTGAAAGTATTGTTGGTCTCCAAACAATATTGTTTACATTGTAGCCATTTTTGGTAGCCTCGTTTGTCACCCAATTAGCTTTTCTGCAATATACTGCTATGTACTGGTTAATTGGGCGTCGTAAATATCGTGAGTCGTGACGTAACGTTATGTAAACATATTTGGGGCTCTGTTTAAACCCGAATGATATTGTTACGGATTTAGGTATTGGTTGTTAATCGGACCATTAACCAGTCATAATTTGGAACAAAAATTTGCTTTCGTTACGCCAGTGCTTGAGTGGGATTAGGTGTAATAAAACGAAACACTGCGAGGAGTACGATATTAGCCCTCCAACGAACTATGGTGATGAGTGGAGATTAAACACCATTTTTCATTTCCTTCATATTTTAAACTCGGTTAACCGATGTTTTTTCTTTAATTGTAGATGAACGAATATCGTGGAAGGAGTGGTGGTCGTATGAAGGTCCTTCGGGTAAGTTGAGCGGAATTTATTTTGTGTGACTATATTCCATTTTAGCCAATTATCCGATTTTCTTATTTCTCAAGACATATAAATCTAGAACATCTTTATATCATCCCAGTTTCTATTGTAGTTGTGTTATTTTCCTTATCAGTTTAACTTAGCCAAAGCATTGGGTGAACTAAGTGCCGGTCTACCCATTCATGTTCAGTTTACTTCTTTATCAGTTTAACGCAGCCAATTTGATGTGTTAAAATCATCCTGCTATAAATCAAAGCATCGGGTAAACTTAACGCCGGTCTACCCATTCATGTTCAGTTTACTTTTTTATCAGTTTACCGTAGCCAATTTGATGTGTTAAAATCATCCTGCTATAAACCAAAGCGTCGAGTAAACTGAACACGAATGGGAAGACCGGCGTTTAGATCAGCGACGTTTGATCCACGGAGAAGTTCAATATCTAGCTGGTGCTATTGAATAAAATGAGGTTTAACTTCCTACTTTTCTGCACCAACCGGACTAATGAATACAGACATGCATCATGCAATGTATACTTATGATGTAGTACCATGGGTCGTCTGTCTGACTCTGATGTGGAAAGCGGGCCCCCGACAAACCGATCGCGACATCCTACGTATGACCCATGCACTCTTTTCTTACAACATATATTGGAACAGCCCTTGATCGTCTAGTTTGTTTCTGACATTCCATGTTAATGACAGCTTCACGTTGTGATTGAATATACTGCATCTTAACTGACATGATTAACCAGAACAACAAATACAAGAGTCTCTTGACTACAGTTTTATATTAAGCTCTGAATACATAACGGTTACACTGCATAATCATCCAAAGTCTTCGATACTGAAAACACGAATTATTTGTCAATTTAAATCAACATTGATGTTGTGATCTTACCGTGAAAAGATGGGCTTCTGATATCCAATATTTAAGACAAAATAAACATTTTATCACTCGTACACGGATCGTGTACCATAATGCGTTTCAGCGCCATTTGTAACAAGTCATTTGAAGAACGAGGCTAGACATATTTCACAAATCATGTCAAACTGTGATGTCATGTTTTTATCTGGTGAGTATGCACAATAAATAATATCAGTGTAGACTGGAATAACCAGACGCTAAAGATTGCCCTTCGATTGAGACTTCTGGCGTATTTCGCCGAACATAATTTATTTGAAATTAGAGTAAAAACGGAAACGATTGAATGTAAATCAGTTCATATACATTCATATTACATTATTATATGCTTTGCGACCCATTTGTGTCAATTTCTAGGTTCAAAATTTTAGCGATATAGCTCCTTTAAAATTAACATGTCTTTCTTACCACCCGCTAATTTGTAGATCGAGTTTACTGACGGATGCCAACATCATATGTCTCTCCTACAAATCAATGGGGTTTACTCCATCCAGTTGGTATCTCTCGAACCTAGGCGGTCTCCCCCGAATTTACCGGCTATCTGCCGAACGGTCAGAGCTCTGTTGGTTTTCTATCCTTGGGTTTCGGCTTTCAGTTATCTACTTGGTCAAATATGACGTAATTAATTACTAAGCCAAATGATGCAATAGGAATTTTCCACTACGAGTGATCTGGTGATATTTTGTTTTCACATAGAACCAGCTATGTTTTGGTTTATAAATCTTTTTTATGTATCAATCCATGTCTCATTTTGATTTTAAGTGCGTGAGACATGACTTCTCCACAACACATGTATGTGAACCCAACAATTAGCCAAAGATATAGTATTAATACAATGATATTAATTTAATAAGCAAAAATTCTACAACAGTCTTACAATGAAGGGCAGTGGCGTTTCCGCCTAATCTTCACTGAATCCCAACGGTGATGGGTGCATTTAGGTGCACGCCAACGCTTACATGAATGACTTGATGCTATTTACGAAATGAAATGAAATGAAATGACATGGGGTTTAACGTCCCACTGTTTCTCTCCTAAACTGGGCTAATGAAGACGGGCATACGCCATACAGTGTGCTATGAGGGAAATTTTACCCGGGCAGCGGCGCTACGGCCTACTCTTATATCGAATTCCAACTGCCAACATGTACACGGGACCTCGGTTTTTCGTACCATCCGACTAGACAGCTGTCCTTATCAGGCCCTCCGTCCTGCATCACTGACAAGGGGAACCAGCGTCGTACCCACTTACCGATGCTATTTACGTTGTTCCTCCTTAGGCCTTCCATTCTGCACTGGGCTGGTAAATATCGAGGAGTTTTCTCGACCAACACCGGAAGGGATCCCGTTTACACCTCCCAGTTAGTGAGTAATTAATCTCGTTGATTTGCTCCGGGGTTTCCCGATGAGATATAAGCGGGTAACCCAGGGGCCCTTTTTCTCGAAATTTTAACTAAGATAAAATCCAAATTTTAGTAATTTGATTGGATAACATTAGATTGATTTTAGTGCATAGCCAATCAAAACAGAAGTATCTACTCAAATTTGGATTTTAACTTTAGTTAAGAATTCGAGAAACAGGCCCAGAACATTAAATCTGAACCGAAAAACATAAAATCTAAACCGAAACGAAACGAAAGTTGTATCTTGGTCTGATTAGATCGAGATATCTACAACGTTATTATTGTCATCTGTGGTTCATTGTGTGAAGGATAGGACAGCATCTATATACGGTTACATTTTCGTTCGATATAGCTCAACCTACTCTCCCCTCTAAGCGTCCGCTAGACCGTGGATAATTAATTTCCATACTTACAATTACAACTTAAACTGTCGACTGTGGTAGTCGAGCGGATAGAATCCTGTTGGCCGAGAAGAATTATTCAAACTCGGTCCCTGCTTGTCTGATGCAGCGCCTGAATGGCTGAGAAGGAATTTCTACCTAGTCATTCGGATGGGTGACGAAATATCGGATCCACACGTATGCACACTGGAGTGCACGGAAAAAACCCTCGCGGTTGTAATTCAAAGAATAGTACTGGATACACCACCGCCCGGCAATATTCTCCTACTTAGCCTTGCGAAAGCCGAATTAAGATTCTGTAGGCCCCTGGGCTTTCAGATACTGTCGGGCCTTAGGTAATATTTTCAAAATTATTATTTTTTACAAGTCTAACAACAACTAAAATTCGAACAGTTGCGTAATTTCTTTCTTTCAAATTATGTCCCTTTAATAGCTGCATTTTAAAATATAATCACCCACTTTGAGCTGACAACTAAATCATGTATCCATACATTTATATTTTAACAAATATTGATTTTTGTCTCTCTTTGTGAGTGGAGTCCTAACAAAGAGCTTTTATTGTATGACTGTCAAGCCATTTGTGCATCGTGATACAAAAAAACATAAAATGTTTTAAAAACAAATTATCATATACATGCTAAAACGTTTTACTGCTGTTACTCGATGGGTGTCAATATTCTCTATTATAAACCAATTTTTTATAATTCTATCTCCTGCAGCTCATTTTCGCTGCTTTTATAATACTTGAATTCAGAAAATTCTAAGCGATGCAACATTTAAACATACATTATGCAAGAGCTAAATCTGCCAATTGCAGGTCTTTCTTTAAGCCTGAAATGTTATCTAAATTATTAAAGATACATTATGGGAGATTCGATAACGAATTGGTAGTTCTCAATATAATAGTTAAAAACTCAATAATGTAAAGGCAATTTGCTGAAAATTTCAGTCAAATTGATCCACTATGAACCGAGAAATAAGCGATCGAAAGTTCCGCATAGCCTCGGTCATCATTACTAAAATCGGTACGACAAAAATCATAGTCTCGATTATCCATTTAATCGTTAAATCGAGAAGGAAAGTTATGCAGCAAATCGGATCATAATCCAACAATTATCGCAGGCTAGCGTTGACATCGAGAGTTGATTATGGTCTGGATACGTTAATTAATGTCTAATTAATAGTATATATAACATTTCTTGCCTAAAGAAAGACCTACAATAGGCATATTTAGCTCTTGCATAATGTATGTTTAATTAGACATTAATTAACTTATCCAGACCATAATCAACTTTCGATGGCATCGCTAGCCTGCGATATTTACTGAATTATGATCCCATTTGCTGCTCGACTTCCATTCATAATTTAATCATGGAATGGGTGAAAGAGGCTATGTTTTTTATCGTATAGACTTTAGTAATGATGACCGAGGCTAGGCAGAAATGTCATTCGCTTAGTTCTCGGTTCATAGTGGATCAATTTGAACGAAATTTTCAGCAAATTGTCTTTACATTATCTAGTTTTTAACTATTATAGTGAGAACTGCCAGCTCTTTATCTAATCTCCCATAATGTATCGCCCATTCAACGTCTTGTTGTAAGTGTATTACGTAATGGCGGTTAGTTTACCAGTCCACGGTCATATATTTAGTATCACATCTGTCGAGGAAATATATCTTTAAATATTGGTTGTTATCGACAATGAAATTAATGATTTATTAATTGTTCCAGAATAAATAGTAATTAATTTACTTAATGCATCAACCCGGATGATATAATTAAAGAGTTATTACACCCAATTATATTAATGATGATGAATAAATGTTTGATATGTTAGGCGTGAAAATGTAAACTTATCGACATTTGGTTATAAAATATTGATACACAACAGTTTACTAGGGTGGGATCCCATTGATGTCCTATATTATGCTTTTTAACTTTTCATTGGCAAATGTCCCTGAGGGTAGACGGCGCCGTGAGGAGTTGGGGATCTAAATGACAGTATACAAAAAACATTTATTATTCTTTTTATATGAAACGTGTAATTTTGCACTTTTTCCTGTTTGGGGTGGTGTAGCTAATGAATTTGAATGTTATGCACCACCTTAGCACCAGACATCCCCAATGACAATGACATGACGTATATTCAAAATGTTCTCGGATCACCGGGGCCCCGCCTTAACCTTTCCCGCGTCCGATGTCGAGTTTACATGTATTATCTAGCAGTACTGTTACTTAATCAGTGAATATCCGAATAAAAGAAGTGCT